AGCTCTACCGTTTCGATGTCGGAGTAAGGATGCTCCATTTGGTGGACAGGGGAGTCCAAGACATGGATGGTCGGTATCGGTGGGGGGACTTGGGCCTCTGGTATCGATACAGTCGTTGGAGCGGGAGGCACTTTAAGGGCATCACCCAGTGCAGCCACCGCTACTTTCCCGCCTTAAGGGGTTTGGAAGAGCCCTTCTTTGCGGACTTTTGCTCCTTACTTGGCCTGGACTTCTTTTTCACCGGCGTGGAAGCGGAGGATTGCGCCTTCCATGCCGGAGGCTTCAGTGTCGGTTGGCCGATATCGGAGGCAGGCCTCGATGCCAGAGCCGTTGATGTCGATGGTTTCTCGGCGTCCATCGCTGAGGAAGGATGTAGAGCTGATTCTAGCAGGGCCACTTTAAGGTGCGCCGCTCGGTTTTTTCGGGTCTGGTTTGAAAAGCGAGCACAGTGGTGACAGGATTCAGGTCGATGAGACTCCCCGAGACAAAGTATGCAAAGGGTATGACGGTCAGGAGGAGCAAGTTTACTACCACAACCCTTGCACCTATTAAAAAAGCCCCACTTCTTCTCCATAAAAACCAAAACGAAGAAGAAGGGGTGGAGGGGGGGGTAGCCTGAACGCCCGACTGAGGTAAAGCGGCAACCTCCCCCTCAGCAGAAAATAAAAAGTTTTTTAAAAGTTTTTTGAAAGAACAACGAAGAAAAGGAATAAACTGAGGAAAAAACCCAAAAAGCCGTGAGGCAAAAAGCCAAAACACGCGAACCGATCAGACCGACGAAGAAAAAGGTCTTTCCAACGTGGTGGTAAGAAAGAAACTGGCGGGATGTCCGCGCCCTCCCCTCTGGGCATGCACAGTGGGGTTCCTGCACATGCCCGAGGTCTGGGTGCAAAAATCCGTTAAAAGAGCTTGCTACAATGCCGATCGATCCAGCGCGTGCGCACTAGATCCCATGGGTGTGAAGCACAGAGACCACGTCGAAGATAATCCCCATTAGACAAGTAAGCGACCGTTGGGAACGAAGTGGCTTGAAATGTGCGTAGTCGGCCACCTGTGGTGATAACAGCGTTCTGCAAGGCAATTTTCTCCAGGAGAAAATGATCCCATCATTTGTTTTTCCAGTTGTTCATCTTTCCATTTTGAGCGATCACAAGTCTCACAGTAGCAAGTAGCTTATATTAACATAAATGCAGTTTTATCTAACTCCCCACCCTGTTCTTTCTAACTGCCATTGTGTGTGTTAACTACATATGTCAAACCTTCAATAGTATGGATAAATAGTCATTAAGAGCTCTGTCCTACCTGACATTGGTTCCTTCAATTTCCAGCACCAGTGACTGGATATCATTATCCGTGATTCTTTTGATGTGGCCATTGCGCACCTAGAAGGCGAAGGAGGAAACAGTCCATGATGTGAGCAACAAAGATCCTTGCCCAAAGAAGCGTCTGCCAGGACAATGTTCCCCAAATCCAGCAAGGCAGCCTGCACCTCCTAAAAACAGCAGGACCAAGGGACAACCGGATGCAGTAAAAGCACAGAAATCTAACTGGAGCCTCCAAAGACATTCAAGTCTGAATGTAGTAGCTTACACTTAATGTATTGAACACATTGCTACACAGTCTTTTAACGCAGCTGAGGAGGCAACTTAGACAGAATCAATAACAATACAATGAAATTATTGATCTTAACCAAAACATGAAGCATCAGAGCTGCCACAAGACACTGAACAGTCTAGAGGGCAGACAAGAAAAGCAATTAAATGTTTTAAATGAGATATGATTTATCACCAAAAGCCTAGAGCACTTAAAAGACTGAGCACCAGGTGAGCTACTGCAGGAAGAGTGTCCTCCGGACACTCCAGGTCTTTCAGCTGTGTCCAGCAATGAGTTGGCTGCCAGTGCAGTTCTCCCAACACTGGTGACATACAACTCTTTCTGATTATTGCTGCATTCTGAGCCAAATGAAGTTCCCAAACAACCTGCAAAGGCAGTCCCATGCAAAGCACACTGCAGTAGACTAACTAATATGCCATAAATGCCAGACTGCTGTGGACAAATCTCAGTCTTCCAGAAAAGGATCTATTTGACAAACCAACTGAACTTGATTAAAAGGAGCTACACAGCACAGATGAGATCCAAGCTTCCAACAGGAAACACAGGCCAGCATGCTCTCAAACCATGAACCTGCCCTTTCAGAGAAGACTTGTTTCTACCAAGTACTGACTGAGGCCACAGTCCCAACCTGTATTATCTACCAGCATCACATCACTTTTGTCTAGACTGAGCTTTCACTTACTGGGCCACATCCAGTCTGTTCCCACTTCCAGACCTCCATTTAAACATCTATTGGCTCATACCACGCCTGACAAATAGTTGCCATCTGTACTGATAGACCGATGGCCTGACTTGCTTAGGGGAGGGGCTGCAGCTTAATGGAACAGCTCCTGCTTTGCATGCTAGGGGTCCCAGATTCAATCCCCAGCATGCTGGAGGTCCCAGAATCCCCAGGTTCAATCCCCAGATAAAACGACCAGGGAGTAGGTAATGTGAAAGACCTCAGCCTAAGATCCTGGAGAGCTGTTGCCAAGCAAAGTAGACAAAACTGACAATGATGGACAAACAGTATGATTCAGTACAAGGCAGCTCCACGTGTGTTCGAATAAGAGGCTGTAGCTCAGTGACAAAGCAATGCATGTGGGATGGAGGGGCGTGACTAGGCAACCCAGCATCCGCTTTGCACACAAAAGGTCCCAGGCTAAATACCGGGCATAAGAAAGAGTTCATAATAGGTGATGTGCAAGACATCTAACCTGGAGAGTTGCTGCCAGCCAGAATAGATGATACTGACCATGATAAGCCAATGGTCTGACTCTGCAGGAGGCCGTTTATTAATGTGACAAGCACACTTGCACCCCCTCCCCTTAGACGTGTATAAATTTTAATGCACCTTAGGTCAGGCACGGAGCACTAAAGGGGCTACGGATCTAGTGTGTGGTTTTCCAGGTACCTGTGTGGTCATGGGTTGTACCAGCTCAAGATGGGTAGCTGCATTAGTCTGTCCATCGCAGTAGAAAAGAGCAAGACTCCAGGACTGAAGAAGCGAGCAGTGACTCAGGAAAGCTCGCACCCGGCCACGTATTTTGTTGATCTTTAAGGTGCTGCTGTTGCTGCTGGACTCTTGCTCTTTTCTACCGTACGGGTTGCATTAGCGGTGATGCAGAGCCCTGCCAGGGTGGAGGAGCAACAGCGCTAGAAGAGGCGGCCTGCCTCCACAGCAGAAGAGACCCCTCCCGGGGCTACAAATGCACACCACTCTCGTCCCCCACCCGCACACCAGGGACCACACAGCCACAGGCATGTCTACCTG